ATCTAGAGTACTCTATTTCTCCAGTTTAGATAGATTTACATCACATATAGATATTTTCTACTGACTTCCTCATCATAAAGGGCTTTCTGATGATATCCGTTAATCTTGTACACCTCTATTATATATTTTATTGCCATTGAGCACATGCACATTCTTACTGTCAAAGTATAGTCTAAACATATAGGCCTAATACATTTAAATACACTCACCCATAAACAACTCTTACAAAAAAAAGACTAATTTTATACTAAAGTAAATTTCAAGTATATTTTTAATTATACTTTATGTAAGTATACTAATTTCAATGTACTATAAGTATACTTGAAAGTGTACTGTTTCAATACTTGGGACTAAATTGGCCCACTTTTAGTGTAACAGCACTCTGAGTAACTAGTTTACAACTAAGTTTTTTGTTCGTAGACCTACTGCAACTATACTACAAGTGAATTTATTGGTACACTAATAGTTTACTAATCAAATACTAAAGCACAAATCTTAGTTTATGAAAGTACACTTTCAAGTATAGACTATACTCTCAGTAAACTACTCGTTTAGTAGTTTTATACTGCAAGTATATACTTGTAAGTTTGTTGAACTTAACATCATACTTATATTTTACTATTTATTTTTGCACTTTAAATTTCGTATACTGAAAATATACCTTTAACTGCACTTTAACTCTTAAACATTTTTTTATTCTAGCTTCATGCATCCTTTTTTATTAACACTTGAATGTTGGTAAAGTTAATTAAAAAGGCAACACTTTAAACAAAAAGCTGGGGAAACGATGATCAAAACACAGATGTAGTAGATAGAGTTCATCATCAACACCCCAAAGATTCAGTCGTTAACCCAACATTTCTTTCAGCAACGTTCGGCAGTTTTGATTTACATGCTGGTTTAATGTTTGATGATTTATTTAACATTTTTCTAAGCAGTCTTCTACCACTTGTTTCTGCTTCTTCTTCACCTGTGTATTTTTCTTGAGATTATGTACTATTTCAGAAGATGCGTAATAGCGCCCCCTACCGTATAACAGTAAAAACTTGAATAGCCAGAACATTCTGTCAGTGGAAGGGGAAGAGTGAAGTAGGCTACAGTATTTGACGTAAATTCCTATGTGCACTACCAGTGGACTACACAAAAATTCAGATACTCAGAATTAGAAACATATCTGTTTTCTTTATAAATCAATATTTTCAAACATCCATCCATCCATCATCTTCCACTTATCCGGGGCCGGGTCGCGGGGGCAGCAGTCTAAGCAGAGATGCCCAGACTTCCCTCTCCCTAGACAATTCCTCCAGCTCTTCCGGGGGGACACAGAGGCGTTCCCAGGCCAGCCGGGAGACATAGTCCCTCCAGCGTGTCCTAGGTCTTCCCCGGGGTCTCCTCCCAGTGGGACGTGCCCGGAACACCTTCCCGGGAAGGTGTCCAGGAGGCATCCGGAACAGATGCCCGAGCCACCTCAGCTGACCCCTCTCGATGTGGAGGAGCAGCGGCTCTACACTGAGCTCCTCCCGAGTGACCGAGCTTCTCACCCTATCTCTAAGGGATCGCCCAGCCATCCTGTGGAGAAAGCTAATTTCGGCCGCCTGTATCCGGGATCTTGTCCTTTCGGTCATGACCATAGGTGAGAGTAGGAACGTAGATTGACCGGTAAATCAAGAGCTTCGCCTTGCGGCTCAGCTCCTTCTTCACCACAACAGACCTTTACATCGACCGCATTACTGCAGAAGCTGCACCGATCCGTCTGTCAATCTCCCGTTCCATCCTTCCCTCACTCATGAACAAAACCCCAAGATACTTAAACTCCTCCACTTAAGGCAGGAACTCTTCACCAACCTGAAGTGGGCAAGCCACCTTTTTCCGACTGAGAAAAAAGTGGCATATCAATATTGATATTTTCAAACAATGTAAGTTTATAAAACAGGAGCCTATGTAAAACTATGTAAAAAAAAACTATGTGTATCAACTATGATACACCCTATGTATCTTTTCAACTTAATCCAATTTTTATAAAGGCTAGGCTACTTCTCAGAAATATAGGCCCAGCCTTCATAAAAAGTAGAATGAAAGTATTTTTAGTATAAAAGAAGTATAGGCCTAATAGCACACTTGAATAAACATATTTTTTGTAAGGGTATACACCATGTAGGCTATAAAAATACAGATCTGTAATTTAAAGAAGTCAAAAAGAGCATGTCTACTTGAATGCAGCTGAAATGAATTCGAGCAAGGAAGGTTCTGAATTAGTTTGACCTAAAGGTGTGAGTGAGTGAATACTGCATAGCCCTGTTTGGAGCCCATCCATTTCATATGATTTATTAACTGTTTTCCTTATGGGGAGAAAAGTTGTCTCCACAAGGTCAAGGATGTATGGTAGGCCTATTGCCATGTTGTGGACACACACGCACACACACACACATTATATCACCGTTACAACCCACTAGGGCAGTGTTTCCCAACCCTGTTCCTGGAGGCACACCAACAGTGCACATTTTGGATGTCTCCCTTATCTGACCCATATATTTCTGGTCTTGGAGTATCTACTAACGAGCTGATCAGTGTGTTTGATTAGGAAGAGTTGGAAAATGTGTAGTGTTGGTGTGCCTCCAGGAACAGGGTTGGGAAACACTGCACTAGGGTATCGGCTGCAACAACAGCACTCTTTGGCCTTAATATTAATTTACACAGTTTAGAGATAACTTCTAAACGACATAGAACACAGATATGGGAATATTACACTGAACAAAATTATAAACGCAACACTTTTGTTTTTGCCCCTATTTTTCATGAGCTGAACTCAAAGATCTAAGACTTTTTCTATGTACACAAAAGGCCTATTTCTCTCAAATATTGTTCACAAATCTGTCTAAATCTGTGTTAGTGAGTACTTCTCCTTTGCCGAGATAATCCGTCCACTTCACAGGTGTGGCATATCAAGATGCTGATTAGACAGCATGATTATTGCACAGGTGTGCCTTAGGCTGGCCACAATAAAAGGACACTCTAAAATGTGCAGTTTTACTGTATTGACCGTTCGCAGGCCCCTCCCACAAAACGGCCATTGTCCAATCACACATCATAGCAACCGTTACTATGTGAGCAGGTCCGTCAAACATTGACTCCAAGCAAGATGGTGAAGCGGTGCGCCTACGGCGTTTGTAAATCGGACACTAGGTACCCCGAGAGATTGTCTGGAGGAGTTGTGTTCTTTCCGTTTCCAAAGCCGAAAACACAACGTGAGTGGTGCCTACAATGGATAAAACAGTGTGGACGGCCCCACTCCCAGTTAAATGTGTCGAACATGGTTAACTCGCGTGCAGCGTGCGTGAGACTGAGACACTGAGATTAGTCAAAGAAACATGGAGAAGCCAGATCAAGAGGATCCACAAAGGAATTACGTTTTCTAAAGGGTTGTTGTTAACATGATATTCTCAGGGGAAAATGAGCAGCAGTGAAGCACCCGTAGACTAACGTTACAGTGCACGTTCGCAACGGGGAAAGCATGAAGCTTACTTAACAACATCAGTACATATATATCAATATCGTAACGAATAGAAATAACCTTAAATAATATAACGTTATGGTTATCTGCATCTTTCCGTCTCTTATGTTTAGTTACTTTTTAAACACGAAAATGGCATTCAGCATGACACGCAAGCGGTTGCCGTGGTAATGAACAACCTGCTTGGTAAAGTGAATGTATAATCCTGTATCTGAGGCAAAATTACTAAATATGCAGCGCGAGTTATATATTTCTAACTCCAAACATTAGCCACTGAACCAGCTTATAAAATCTTCTTCAAGGCTGTGCTGGTTGAATTTGAGGTACAGGTCATGGGGTTTCTCAGATTTCGCTTGAGACCGTTATAGCCATTCGCCTCGATAGTAGTCGTGTCTCCTTCATTGCGTATTTTTATATTTTGAATATATCCCTCCACTGCATACTGTAACCCCTTTTGCCTCGATCTGGAGGATATCGCTGAGGTATTGCTCCAAAAAAGGTCACTGACACTCACGGGTATACCTCTTCCCGTCATGGCAATCTGTCGCGCTGGTCGTGTTTGACCATTTGTTTGACGGGCATAGCAACAATAACTAGGGGGCGTGGCTTTTGCGAACGATCAATTGGGGGGTGGGGGTGGGATTGGTGGATTTGGTCCGAAAACCAGTCAGTATCTGGAGTGACCACCATTTGCCTCACACAGTGCAACACATCTCCTTCGCATAGAGTTGATCAGTTTGTTGATTGTGGCCTATGGAATGTTGGTCTTCTCCTCTTCACTCTTCAATGGCTGTGCGAAGTTGCTATAATAATAATGATGCTAATAATCATGCTGTCTAATCAGCATCTTGATATGCCACACCTGTGACTCACCTGTTAGTGAGCACTTCTCTGCAAAGGAGAAGTGCTCACTAACACAGATTTAGACAGATTTGTGAACAATATTTGAGAGAAATAGGCCTTTTGTGTACATAGAAAAAAGTCTTAGATCTTTGAGTTCAGCTCATGATAAAAGGGGGCAAAAACAAAAGTGTTGCGTTTACAATTATGTTCAGTGCATATAAAGGTTCAAGACACATGACGCAAGAAAACTTAGTACAGACATTTCAACAAAATGTTACAGCACTCTCCTACTGCCGTAAGCCTGCATTTGAAATATTGAGTATCTAGTAGACGCAACCGAATGCGCGCGCGTGCCTATCCATGCAGTTACCATCATCATCAGTTGCACTTCCCTGGGTCCACTGAATCCACTTTAAAACGAGTCGTGCATGAAAAAAATCAAAGGTAAAATCTGTTTGATTTGCCGATAAAACCCCTGAAAAAAAAAAAAAAAACACTGAGAAGGATGAAAGCCCGGCAGCCGGCAGCCTGATCATCTGATTGGATGTTTGGTTGCGTCCTCACCGCAAAGATCCATCATCAGAGCTACTCAGTCTAGGGCACAGGCACATAACGGTTGTAAAGGGTACCTGTTATCATTTATGGCTGCACGGTTTTACAAAAAAGTGATTGTTAACAGTGATTGTTTTAACATTTTTGCGTTACCAGGGATTTCCATCATGAAGTTTAAGACCAGTCTGGATGCGATGCGCGTGCATTGAGGACGCTGGAAAGGTGCGTGTCTTTCTCCATTCTTCACTTGAAAACACTGAAGGTTTAAATGAAGTATTTCTTGAAGTAACATTCATATAAAGTACCTTTTTAATATCAAAATCGGTCAACTGCTCTAGTACAGACGAAATATGCATGCATACAATTCATTCATAAAATATTTTATATAAATGTTTTAATTTTCTTAAAGCTGCTATTAAGTAATGTAATTAACGTTTTAAAGATTATTGCATGCATATATCCACACCGAACCTCACATTGCTCGTATTATTATAACGTCCATTCATACCGTAGTTTTTAATTTCTTGTTGCTTCGAATTTTTACGCGTCGTGATTAATTTAAAGGGAGTGTGGATTGATATTAAAAAAAAGTTTAATCACCTACTGACATTCTGAGACATATGCTATCTCAAATGAATCAATGAAAGGGCTATAAAAATGCATTCGCTGTCCCTGTGTATAATAGCTTAACATAATAGAATATGCGTTTCCATGGATTTACATTTTAAGTGAGTTAGGCAAAAGTGGGACATAAGGTAGAGTGGGTAAAAATAATTGTTATTACTGATTACCGCTTAAATACTAGGAAGCCGGTCAGATAAAGTGGGACACCTTTAAAACTGTTCAGATGGATTATGATGATCATTAATCAATATATTATTATGGGCTAATATCAACAATGCCAGCCAGGCAAGGTTAGAGTTATTGTAGCCTACTGTATGTTATTGTTACCTTTCTGACGACAGGTTTTACTGGTAATCAAATAGCTGATTGCTGATATGTTCTACAAATCAGTTGCTGAGATGAGATGGCATTGATTGTTTTTACTGGGGGGGGGGGGGGGGGGGGGGGGCAAAATATACACACACAATGGATATAAAAAGTCTACACACCCCTGTTAAAACAGCTTTGTGATGTAAAAAATTAAACAACGATATATCTAATTTTTGCGCCTTTAATATAAAAAACCAAGTGAACCAACTGAAAACCAAAGTGACAAATTTTAAGAGAAAAAATGGGTAAGTGGCTGGGTAACAACAAATGGGTAAGTGGCTGTGTTCAGGGGCTGCGTCCGAAATCTTAAAAACGCTGCCTTCGGAGGACGCATTCCAAAGCAGGAAGGCATGATTAATGTCCGTCCAAATCCAATGTAGCTTCACTTCTCCTGTTACCTTCATCCGATTGATTTTTGAAGGCAGCATAGATGTATCCTTCACTGCCTTTGATATCCCACAATCCAATGCTTTCCATTCTGTGACAATTGAGCTAAAAATATAAAGATGGCATCTGAAAGATGCGGTTGGTGGTCAGTTTGTGTGTAAATGTATGTTTTTGACCAACGGTTTCCACTCCTGATGTAATTTATAGCGAGAAATTACTATTGTAGTAGCCAAATTAGTTATCACCAAAGCTCGCTCAATTTTGCTGTAGATCATTAACCGCTACGTTATGTCCGAAATCAGTTTCACAATACTGTTGGGGAATTTACAGTGAAGACTCGTGGACCAGATATGATGAATGAAGACCGGGCGTCAGAGATAAAATCACTTGAAGACATTTTTTACTGAAGAATAGTTAGCAATTTTTTTTATCAGCAGAAGTCAGCTTCAAAACTCAGCAAGGAGTTTGTAGGCCTCTCTGTGTACACACACTCAAGGTTACTAACGCCATTACTTCAGGTTGAATGATTCTGATTGGTTAAGACATGATAACTTCGAAAATCTCCACATATGGACATATAGTTTGAAGCATATCTCCATTGATTATCCAGTTGACAACAGGTATCCTTGGTTAGGCACGAAGTGACCCTGCATCAATGTCACGTATCAGCGTTTCTTGGCTACAGCTTGTCTGAAAGATGTTCATTTCATCTCTCCTGGGTGCCAGTTTTTACCTCACGAAAGTCAAACTGTAACAAAGGATACTGACACACACACACACACACACACACACACACACACACACACACACACACACACACACACACACACACACACACACACACACACACACACACACACACACACACACACACACACACACACACACACACACAAACAAACACAGCTTCTTTGAGGTTGGAGTTGGTTAAGCACTGGTTTGATCAGGAAACTTTCCCAAAACATACTGATAAGATGTCCTTACTCTCAGTAAGAGGTTCAGACAATAGCCTATTTTTCTTTATTCTCTAGTGCGGACCAGGCACCACGGTTCGGCACGCATGTGATTCGCGGATTAACTGCAAAGTTTAACCATCATAGAGTGAAAGTTTATCATTTGGACATGTTCTGTCTTCCCAATTTACACATTTAAACAATTTTAAACGCATAAGAAGAGGTGGGACTCGTACTTCAGACAGTGCACTTCAGACAGCGCTTGAACACCGAATTGATTCCTCTTTTTCGTTTACTTGCACTTGAACGGACACATACACACAAAATGATGTCAAAATACCCGTCTCGGCAAGTATTCTCTCTGTTATACCATACCATACCATACCAACTTTATTTGTAAAGCACATTTAAAAACAACCGAGGTTGACCAAAGTGCTGGACATTAACATAATTTCAGACACAGTTGTAAAAACATGGGAAACAACAACGAGCAAGAAAATTAAAAACAATAAACAAACTAGAAAACTATATTTTGCAAGATACAACTCTCAAGCAGGTTTAAATGCCAATGAATAAAAGTGCGTCTTAAGTCGTGATTTAAAAACGTGCAGGCTAGGGGCTAATCTGACGTGCAGAGGCAGATCATTCCACAGCCTTGGGGCCACAACTGAAAATGCTCGATCACCCCTATTTTTGAGCCGCGTTCTGGGGACAGAAAAGAGTAGCTGGTCAGCAGACCTTAATGACCTCAGAGGAGCGTGCGTCTTCAGTAGTTCGGAGATATAAACTGGCGCTTGACCATAAAGAGATTTAAAAACAAACAACAGAATCTTAAAATGTATTCTAAAACAAACCGGTAGTCAATGAAGGGAGGCAAGAACAGGCGTAATGTGATCTCGTTTTCGTGTTCCGGTAAGGACTCGAGCAGCAGCATTTTGAACCATTTGTAATCTGGAGAGGGAGGTCTGGTTAATGCCCACATATAAAGCATTACAATAGTCCAGACGAGTTGTGATAAAAGCATGTACAACCCTCTCAAAATCCGTAAAAGATAAAAATGGCTTCAGTTTGGTAAGCAGTCTAGTTGAAAGAAACTAGCTTTTACAATGGAATTTATCTGCTTCTCTATAGTCGAAAATCACTATCCATCTTAACACCAAGGTTAGTTACCATGGACTTGACATAGGGTGCCAGGGGACCTAGGTCCAATTGGGAAGCGCTAGTAGAGCTACTGGGTCTAAATAACATGACTTCAGTTTTTCTTTCATTAAAATGTAAAAAGTTTAAAGCCATCCAGGCTTTAATGTCATAAAAACAATCTAACAGTCTTTTTAAGGAATTTTCACCTTTACTTTTTATAGGCAAGTAGATCTGTGAATCGTCGGCATAAAAATGGTAACTGATGTTATACTTCTTCAAGATGGATCCAAGGGGAAGTAAATAAAGAGAGAAGAGAATCGGGCCCAAAATAGAGCCCTACGGAACTCCACATATCAGTGGTACTTTGGCTGAAGTAAAGCCACCAATACCAACCTTGAATACTCTCTCTGATAAAAATGATCTAAACCATTCTAATGCAGTGCCTTTAATCCCCACGTTGTGTTCGAGACGAGCGATAAGAACACTGTGGTCGACAGTATAGAATGCAGCTGTGAGATCTAACAGCATAAGAATTGCAGAATTTCCGGAGTCTGTTGTCATTAAAGATCATTAAAAACTTTTATAAGTGCAGACTCTGTACTGTGAAACGCTTTAAAGCCAGACTGGAACACCTCAAGGATACCATGCAGATCTAAAAAAGATTGTAGCTGCACGAGAACCGCCTTCTCTAGAATCTTGGATATGAAAGGAAGTTTAGAGATCGGACGATAATTTGCAAGAACTGAGGTGTCCAGATTTGGCTTTTTGATAACGGGCTGCACCACTGCCTCTTTAAAACAAGGTGGCACATAACCTAAAGTAAGACTGCTGTTGATGGTTGCATGGATGATTGGTCCAATAGTATGCCATACTTCTTTAAAAAGACGAGGTGGAATGATATCAGTAGGACAAATTGAAGGTTTTAAATGTGTAAGAATATCAGTAAGGGCCGAGAGGGATACAGGCTCAAACTCAGTGAGAACTGCTGGACACACTATGGAAATGGAGGGGTCAAAGGCTGGAAGTGGGATGCTAGCTCTAATGGTAGTAATCTTTTCCACAAAAAAGTGGAGAAATTTTTCACAGGCCGCAGAAGATTCTTCCTGATTTATGGATTGTGGGATATGAAGAACAGAGTTAATTTTGCTAAAAAGAACATGAGGTTTATGGCAGTTATTTTCAATAATATCAGAGAGATATTTTGCCTTTTCAGCTTTAACAGTCCTCTGGTAATCACGCCAGCAATCCTTTAGAATTTCGTAGAATACCTGTAATTTATGTTTTTTCCATTGACGCTCGGCTTTCCTACACTTTTGCCTAGCAACTCGAGTTTAGTCATTGATCCAAGGTTCAAAATTAGATTTGGAACGCCTGGGTTTTAGTGGTGCAATTTTGTCGAGAATTTTTCTGCAGGTGAATAAAAAAGAAGAAATCAACTCATCTGTACCTAGACAGGCGGAGAACCCTGTAGTTTCCATAACAGTATTAAAAGTTTCGGAGAATTGTACAGCAGTGGCAGGTGTAATCACCCTGCAGAAACGAAGCGGAGCACATTCCTTAACAATATTACTGGAAAGGGCAACGTCAAATAAAACAGGTGCATGATCAGAGAAGACAGCGTCATGTACTTCAATATTTAAAATAGGGAGACCGTATGACAAAACTAAATCTAATGTGTGGCCATGGATCTGCGTTGGACCACTTACAAACTGTGTAAGATTCAAAGCATGATAAGATTTAAAAAATCTTTACCCAACAAATTCATAGGACAGCATACATGAATGTTCATATCTCCTACAATTAAGATCTGGTCATATTTCAGCATGATTTCAGACAAAAATTCAGAAAAGTCTCCGATGAAGTTTTTGTTGTATTTCGGAGGTCGATAAATGAGTGCACACAGAACGGGCGGAGATTTGCCCAATTCAAACATTATTAATTCAAAACTTTTTTCACCTGTTATGTCATAAGTGAACAGTTGAGAAAGAAACCGGATGTGTGTCAGCCTGCTATTCCTGCTGTTGTGTAATTAATGTTAATAAAATAAAAAAAACATCATCATCATCGTCATCTTCCATGTTCGAGAGAAAAGAAGAAAGTGAGGAGAGCAGTCAGGAGGAAAGTGATGAAAAACAGCTTGTAGGATAAGTGTGTCACGTAAAGTGTGAGTACCAAGCAGCATCTTGGGAACCAGACCAACAAAGTTATGTGCACCCATGTCTATAATGGTGGTGTTGGTAATTTGGTGGTGGCTTTAGTGAAGGTGGAGGGAATCGTGGATAGCTCCAAGTACCAGTCGAATTTGGAACAGAACCTTCTTGTGTCTGCTGAAAATTAAGAGAACTTTCACCTTTCAGCATTACAATGATCCAAAACAGACATCTAGACATCGAGTGAGGTCGTATGAATTAGTACGAATTAGCCACCTTTTAATCACTCGTACGAATTCGTACGAATTGGTCGTGAGCATTGGGCATTTCAACAGATCTGGAATGTGTTTGCAAAGAAGAGTGGGGACATAATCCCAAATCAAGATGTGCTTAGATAATAGACTCCTATCCAAACAGATGCAATGCTGTAAAAAAAATCAAAAGGTGCTTAAACTAAGTATTAGTTAGTGTGTACACTGATGCAGTTAGTTATTCCACGTTTGATATATTTTTTTCTCTGACGTGTCACTTTAGTTTTCAGTTGCATTGCATGGGTTGTAATTTTTGCTTGCTAATGATTACCTCAACCTTTATATTGTCTAGTCTGCATTTATATTGTGCAAATCTGTTTGACACAGGTCTCCATCATGCTAAAGGTGCAATCTGAGTTTACGCTGACTTCATGAAGGGCTCTTTAACCTCATTTAATCATTTCATCCTTGGATTCCCGTGATGGCTCTGATCTGCCTTTGCGACTCTATGAATGGATCAGACCAGGCTCATGTGTTCTGCAACACCACTACATTCAACTTTACCGGGGATGAGAGTGGGGACTGTCACCTTCAGACCGTGGATGAAGTTCTGTTTAGTTTCCTGGGCCCTAGACGATCTCCTTTCTTCTTCCCTGTGACCTTTACGTACATCCTCATCTTCATCACAGGGGTCTTGGGAAACCTTCTCACCTGCACTGTGATCACTAAAGACAGGAAGATGCGGATACCCAGTAACCTATATCTCTTTAGCCTGGCCATCTCGGACCTGCTGGTGCTGCTCTTCGGGATGCCGCTGGAAATCTACGAGCTGTGGCAAAACTACCCTTTCCCCTTCAGCGAAAGCATGTGCTGCTTTAAGGTCTTCTTATTTGAGATGGTTTGTTTTGCTTCCGTGCTCAACGTTACAGTGCTGAGCGTGGAGCGCTACATAGCTGTGATTCACCCGCTCAAAACCCGCTGCTTCATAACCAACAAGCACGCTCAAAGGGTCATCGCCAGCGTTTGGGCTCTGTCCCTGTTCTGTGCCATCCCAAACACCTCGCTTCACGGCCTACAGTACCAGTACCTGCCAGAGAGGGTTCTGGAGTCAGCTACCTGCAACCTGCTCAAGCCCAAATGGGTGTATAATTTGGTGATCCAGGTCACCACCGTGCTCTTTTACGTTGTCCCCATGATGATGATAAGTGTGCTGTATCTGCTGATTGGTCTGACACTGGGCAGGGGACAGAAGCAGAGGAAGGACAAGCTGGGCAACCACAGCAACGACAGCTGGAAAATCCATCTGGACAGTAGTCGGAAGAGGCAGGTCATCAAGATGCACTGTGAGTGATGGGCTGATGTTTACAATAAAAATAAATTACAAAACTGCACAAAGCAGTGATCTTTTAGTATTATTTATATATAGTTTTTATTAATATTTTAAAGATCCTTTATTATTATATTTTCAGAAGTTTATTTGAGAAGTTTTGTTATATTATTTAGGTTTCATTTATATTAATTTCAGTTTTAGTTGTAGGCCTACTTCAGCTTACTATTTTGTTTTTGCTTTATCTCAAGTAAAACCAAATGTACTAGTTTTATTTTTAGCAACCCTGGCACAATGTTCGTAAAATTATATAACTCCACCATTATTTCACAATCAAAATGGTGCTTTAGACTAAATAAATAGATAAAGATTAAAAGAGAGATTAAAGTCTTCAGTGCACATGGTATGATTTTCATTTCAAAAGTATGTTCATGTAAGTATGCATAAAACTTTCTTTTAAAAATAAAGGCCACACAATGTAATGGCCGCAACATTTATATTTAAAGGTTCTCTAAGCGATCCTGGGTGACGTCACTTCTTGTTGACGTTCGAACTATTGTCAAACTAAACGGAGGCTAGCTAGACCCTCCCTCCTCCTCATCCGCACACTAACCCCCCAAACCACACCCCCAAACCCTTCTTGTCGGTCATTGGCTGGAACAGTTTGTTATGTTTTGGGGAGCGGGTCGCTGCAGTTTGTTTTTGGTGCTGTTTGTGAAGCATGGGCTGTCTACAGAGATCGCGTTTCTTTACAGTGTGTTCAGGGGACAGGCAGCCAGCGGATAGTGAGGAGATGTTTGCTGTATGTGACAAAAAATGTTTTGGCCTAAAAAACACATGACATCGCTTAGAGCACCTTTAAGATATGCGAGTAATTTGTCATTTCAAACTACAGTCTTATTTTCTTTTGTTTACTTTTGCACATCATTATGGAAAATCAAATCCAAATGAGTTGCATCCGTAATCCACTGGCATGGCAAATTCAAATACCACTGTAAAAGCCTGCTGAGCATCACTTAGATGCCTGAAAACATCCATCTGGATGGTTTTCATTTTTGGAGTGGTAAAATCTTTAGACAAACAATTTAAAGGTGCAGTGTGTGACTTTTAGCGACATCTAGCGGTTCGGTTGCGAGTTTACACTAAGGGCTCAGCACACCGCTCACCCCTCCCTTTCGAAGAAGCTACGGTGGCTAAAAAACGGGACAAACATCGTCGTCTGAGACAGCAGAGAATAGCCAGCGTAAACCAAGTTTCTGTACCACAGTCCATTATAAACCACATCATGGATAAAGGATCAAGGGTCTTAATACATAATATAATAATAGTAATCAGCTGAATGTCTCACCAACGTAACCAGCACATTTCTCCCCACATAGCAAACCCATTATACAGCGAGGGAGAAGAACCACATGAAACTATGTAACTATATATTTTTTCTAACAGGGTAGTAAAAGTTTAGCTGCCTAATATGAGCTGTTACTGTGGCTGAGCTGGTTAAAGCGTTAAGCCTTGTTTAAACTCGACGCGTCCGCATGAGCCCAAAGGTGCGTGCGGCAAAAATGACGTGATTGTAACAGCGGGCGCGCCTCCGCATCCCCTACACACCACTTACTACACACAATAGGCTTTTTTTCTATGATTTTGGAAAGTATATCGACTTAAAATGCTTCCAAGATCGACGGGTTGGTGATTCCTGTAACTGTTTTACGGTCACTAGCCGCGTTTCCATTACAGATTTGCGCAAAACTTTTGCGATTTTTTCTAAATATCGATAAAAAACTATTGCGAAATGACGGCGTTTCCATTAACCGATGTTATGCGACTTTGGACGTTTGTAGGTTTATAGCACATGTGAATAGACGTGCAGCCACCGCACTAGACATTATTATTATTAATGGAAGGAGACGTGGTGTGTTATCCAAGCATTAATGGTACGGAAAGACCCTAATACTGTGAACGGCACATGAGGTGTTTCTGTGTGTTTCTCCCTCATTTCTGCTCCAAGGTCTTGATTGTGGCATTTCTTTGAGGTTTAGAATCCAGTATTCCTGGAATTCTTTTTCCTTTTATGAATTTAATAAAGAACTTTGTCTCGTATTCTGTCCAAACGGTCCGTGTACTTTTGCGTCAATTTATTTTTCCTTTTTTAACCCGTAGCCTAATTGAAAAACGAAAAATGAACGGTTGTTGTATTTTTAAAGCGCAAAGTTGAACAACAAATTTTCAATTTGAACTGTAGTACACATCAAATGCTACGCAAAAAAATAGACGAATTTTCAGATTTTTGTTTATGACTTTTTGCCCCTTTATTAAACATATAAAATATTCACAAATTAATATGAAAAAAATGTTGATTTTACTGGTTTTCTAAGGCCAAATTAGAACCCGATGATATTTTTCCCGCAGTGCTAAATAAGAAGAGCCATGTCTCTGGAACCATAGCCGACAGAGAGGTGATTTATAGGTGATTATAGGCTAATGATAATAAATGTGTCTGAAAAAATAACGAGGCATTTTAATTGTTTATTAATAAACTAGTGTTAGTGCCGACTGCAAACATATTTTCATCTCCACTGTAAAACGGATGCGCCTTTAGAGAGAAATGCACCTTTCATATGCATTACATAATCAGAAGGTATTTGCTTTCGATTTGAATTTGTTCGTTTAAAAGTGGACATTTCAAGCTTTAGCCTACATAGGCTATATTTTGTTTCAGTTCATTTCTGAGACATGTTCCAGTTCACGGAGATCATGAAAGCGCGCCTGATTGTTTTCTTTTATTTTGCAAAAGAAGAACGTTTTCTTGTTATTGTGAGTTTACACAAATAAAAGTAGTTGCGGATTATGTATTATTATTTTCTGTATGACCATAAATGATAGAGTATTTTAAGTTCTTTCCACTGTTGACAGGAAAATGCAAGTGTTCGCGTCCGCGCCTCCGTCATGCAGTGCGCGCTCCACACTCGCACACACACTTGGATAGGCTATACGTCAAAATCTTGTGTTTATTTGTGATAATCTTAGCCCTGTATTATTATTGTCTAACCTGTATTATGAATGACATTTGACGAATTGCGTTGTTCCTTTTTTGGATAAACGCGCCTTCTAACTATGTAGCCAAATAAATGTAATAGGCTAATAATAATTATTATTATTATTATTTGCGTTTATAACTATAAATGACTGCACTTAAGACAGTAATATGTTTATCATAAAATAATTGATGAATGTATTATTTTTATATAACCTTTTACAGTTTTGGAAAATGAGTTTGTGTTATATTTCTTTTTTTGTATGAGAAGTCTTTTTTTTTTTGCTATTCTATTATAGCCTACTGAGCTTTTTCCGATCGAGGGAACAGTTTGTACTCAACCATGAGTAGGCCTACGGTTTATAAACTTGAGGGGACGGATTGCAAAACCGTCGCCACAGATTTTTTTTCATTTAGGCTATTTTATTTTTTTCACAGACGCTCCATATTATCTAAATGTTCCGGGTCAAAATGAAATGCAGAAATCAAATTTCGCAAAGTTGTAGGCCTATGTCAATTAGGCCTATTTGATTTTCAATTAAATAAGCAATAGGCTATATAAGGAAAATAAGTTTGTATGTGAATATTTTTTCACCAGTCTAAAAACTAATAAAGAAGAAAGCATGTTTTTCGTTTTTCATACGAGTTAAAGGAAAAACGAATGGAGGCAATAGCCTACACGGACCCCAAACACACGCGCCTTCTAAGTCAAGTGACTGTAATTGCGCAAAAACTGTTTCCATTGCAGTTTTGCGAAATATTCCTTTTTCGAATTGCCTGAAAAACCACCTCATGCGAGCGTAAAAACTTTTTTGCGATAAATGGGAGTTTTTGCGAAATTGACGTGTTTCCATTGAGCGTATTTTTAATTCGCAATTTCAATTTGCGCAATTTGAAGGGCAATGGAAACGCGGCTAATGACAAGAGTAGCCTACTAATCAGCTGTCTCACGAACTTAACCAGCACATTTATCCCCACATAGCAAAGCCATAACACAGCGAGGGAGAAGAATTAAGTTACATGAAACAATCCAACTACATATTTACACCACTGACAAGGGAAAAGTCACTACTCACGGGGTTTATGACTAGCTTCTTCTAGATTCCTGCGGCTTCTCTTTTAAGGTAGTGACGAAGCGCTCTGTAACACTGTTTGTTCGCATTCGGCTACGGTAGAAACATGACGTCACAATATGGCGACCTTCATAGAAGGGGATTCCCGTGCCTATGTAGATATAAATGCCTCATTCTAAGGTAATAAAAACATTACGGTTTATTAAGTAAGTTCTTTATACATCACTGAACACATAGTTATGGATGTCATATTGCATTTCTGTTAATAGATACTCAAAAATGTTACACATTGCACCTTTAAACCACCCCCGTGCCCTCCCTCCCCACACATTTGACATCTTCTGAATGCCTTTCCTTAATGGCGACGATGCTATTCCCTGAGAGTCTGCCACTTGTCATATAATGACTGTAAACCTACATAATGAAAAGGACCTAGACACTTTTATTTGCATTTATAGAGCATGTCTCTATACAATTACACACTGTGATGGCACAAATTACTCACCATTAAAGCTATTCACTTATAGACCCAAATATAACTATAAGCTCTTCAATTGCCATTATAGTGTTTACTTGAGTGTTTGAAAGATCCTTTAGCATTGCTTTTGTTGTCCTGGAAGGAAAATTTCAAAGCTTGCATGTTGACTAAATATTCTTTCATAGAAGACAAAAAACATTTATTGTACTGATAAAATAAATGTACAAAAGCGTTTTTTAATTTTCTGATTCACGCCTTGAATGACCCACCACTTCAGTTTTACTATAACTGAATATTTTCAGTCAGACGAACTGGTCAGTGGATAAGGCTGAATATTTATTAAATATTTGCTTAAAAAAATGCGGTACCCCACAGTATCATTGCGGTGGCTTTCCACAGTTCTGAACGTGGTGACTAGGTAGACTACTACGCATGCGCTGATTTGTTATTTGGAATATATGTAATGCACATGTAAACTAATATGTGAATCGGATTACAACGTTTAGTGAATTTTCAGAAATCCGATTTTTCTGAAATCGGATTGGATTCATTCTGATTGAAGAAAATGAGTGTAAACACGCAATAGAGTGCAATGTCCATCTTAGGTTGCTAGAAACTAAAAAGCTGGGCTTGCATATTTGCGTAAAGTATGTTTCTGGCCAAAATAAATATCTGACAGTGACTGACCAATGAGAATTAAGTAGAGAGACTGAGATGCTAGTGGATTTCTGGGCATGATGCCCATAGAGTAGTCTTTGAAACTGAGGGCTCACTTTCATAGTTGATTGTAACATTGATTTACATGCTTTCTTCTCTCTCTCTTCCTATAGTCGTGGTGGTTCTAGTGTTTGCCATCTGCTGGGCTCCGTTTCACATCGACCGACTGTTGTGGAGCTTCATCACAAGTTGGACGGACCACATGCATAACATATTCGAATATGTGCACATAATCTCGGGAGTGCTCTTCTACCTCAGCTCTGCTGTTAACCCCATCATCTACAACCTGCTCTCCAGTCGTTTCCGAGAACGGTTTCAAGCGCTGGTGTTCAGTCGCCTGTCGACGAGCTCTTCTATGCCTTTCTATGTCATCCCGAAAGACCCACCCACTGATCTCCAAGAGCAGGCGCGTGGGCAGCCCACTTCCTTTTGTCATTATCATCATCAGGTGGGAACAGGAGTATGACTGCTTTCATGTGAGAAAACATGAATAAATTCAGGTTGAGTTAGGGACACTTTTCCCCAGTCATCTCAATGAAGTGTCCCAATCAACCTGAATTCATCCTACTTGTACTTAATCTTTTGCTCAAGATAAAAGTAATTAAGTATTCTAAGTATTTGCTTGTAGTGTTTACTCTTTTGTAAGCCTATATAATTATTTTGAATGTTAATATGTTTGTAGAGATTTAGGAAACATGCTAAGTTCACATTCTTGTTTCTCAGAAGAAGAAAAAATGCTACAGCCAGTTATTCTACTTGTGCGTTCTGTGTCGGAATGTCTGTTTTTGTTTTGGTCGGTGTGATCCCCCCCCCCCCACTGCCAAATTACCCTGGGTTGCCAGTTGCATCAAAAACCCTCGGCATCCAGCTAAAATACTCTATGTCCAGAGGCATATTAAAACAGCCCAGTCTCATCCCAAGACGTCACCTGTCTGACGCTTTTGACCATACGTCAACATCCGACGTTTTAGGGTACCCTTTAACGCCAGTTAGATGACGCTATCTAATCCTAACCCTACCCCAGACCTAAACCTACCCGCGTCATCTAACTGACGCTAAAGGTAAAGAGTCAGTTAGATGACGCCCTAGGATCGTCATCTAACTGACGTTAAAGGGTACCCTAAAACGTCGGATGTTGACGTATGGTCAAAAGCGTCAGACAGATGACGTCTTGGGATGAGACTGTGTTAGCGGATAAATCAATTCATCAACTTATAGTGTAAGGCTCGTCGCTTTCCATTGTCCATTGAGATGCTTCCTGTTTCGTGTCCTCAATAGTAGCCTATAGTCATGTTATCAAAAATTATGTCGAAAATTAAAATGACATGAATATTGGTCATTTAAAATTAACTTAAAGCTGCAGTCTGTAGTTTTTCATCTTTGTCGCCATCTCTGTTCGAAATCTGCAATTGAGAATACGAATTTTCACCGGAAAATGTCATCTGAACAAGTAACATCCACTTTTGTTCTGACCAGCTAATGGAAAAAAAGCATTGCAGTAAATTGCGTTGATTAAATCTAACGATCGCTTATCATATCACGTCAAACCATGCAAATTATACTTTGTTCTCAAATTGTTAATGTTAACAACATCAGCATTGCGTGACTACATTTAATGGCCTTCCGATATTTATCCTTGTTTTCGCACGGGTCCGGTTGCAGTCTCTTTTTTTCTGTAGCCACTCCGAAGTCTTTTGCATTTTACAACGGGTGAATCTCCAGTTGTCACTGGTGTTTGTCGTTTGAACCTTTCTGGATCCGCCATCAAATTGATATTTAATTATTAATAACTATTAATTAAGTGCTGTGAGAAAAGGCTATAAATCTCCGCCTCCAGCATCCTCACACGCAATATAGCCTACTAGCCGAGACTCCTTCTTTATGTGTACAGATGTGACGTAATGACGCAAAGACATGCTCGAATCTCCCGCGGAAATCCACCAGTACCACTGGAATTAAAAACATTATTACAAGCTTACCGTTTTGAATCGAGCTAAGGCAAGCAGATAGTTTTGAACACTGGCTGGTTATGTACTTGCTCAAAAATTTATTTTGGATAATTTTTAACCCCAAAAAAGTTACGGACTGCAGCTTTAAAATCATGGTTAAAAGACAATCAAGTGTGTGCCCATACTTTGTAGCTATTTCAAATCACCTGAAGCATCCTTTGCCTTGTTTTATGTTTTGTTGTCCTTGTTTTAATGTACTTTATGTATTCTTATGAAATGTGGTCTACTGTATGTATAAGTATTGTTGATTTGTTTTAATGTATTTTATCTGACATTACACCTGCCCAGGGACTAGTTGAAAACTGGCACACTGACATAAATGTTTATTAATGTGCAGTCCCTGTAACTCTATTCTGTATAAAGAAAAAAAGAAAATATGAACGAAAATAATACGCTGTACAATTTTGCAGAAAAACCACTTGATTCATGGTCAATGTTAAAGTAGTCGTGAACGTTAGAGACAACAAGGTCATTGTTTCATTAATGACAAAATTGCTGCCATGCATCTGTTTCAAATGTTTTGTATAATTCAGATTGTGTCATATTGTATGAAAAGCATTACTATTCATCTTTGTTTATTCAAGGCTTTTTCATTCAAATTAGGCTTTATCCATTTAAATGATCTATTGATGTAGATCATACAGATATTAAGATGTGGTAACCAAACTGTGGGCAGATGTAGCTTGTTTAAAAAATCTATCTATCTATCTATCTATCTATCTATCTATCTATCTATCTATCTATCTATCTATCTATCTATCTATCTATCTATCTATCTATCTATCTATCTATCTATCTATCTATCTATCTATCTATCTATCTATCTAAAATCTAATCTAATCTATCTGACGTCTGTCCTGCACATCTTAAAAAAAACTGTATTAATGGTTCTATAAAATGGGCAATATCCATTCCAAACGAGTGCTGTTATTCTTGTTGTTCTTTTTGTCATTTGTGTCATGGGGACATGAACAGAAGGAAACATGCACATTGTTCCCGGGATCCATTTCCCGCACTAGAGAGAAGAGGAAGTATAATACTTGTGCCAGAAGGGAGTCATCGAAAAAATAGTGAAAATAGAACAATAAGAGCTGCACGGAACATTAATCTTTACAGACAATTAGGGAAAAGTATGTTTTATGTTTCAATTAACTGCAGGGGCTTGTCAGAATGCTGTGTGCAGGGGTTCTGGCTTAAATGTTGCAATTTAAATGTTTGTGCCAAAAGTGCTTCACTAGAATTCAATCTCATGAGAAATAGAATATTTCTTGTATCGTTTGATTGTTACTTGATTACACTGGAGAACTGTGGCTTCAATTTTAAAAGAAACAAATATTGGGGAGGGGGGGGGGGGGGGGAATGTCTAACATTTATAGACATTCACAAATGTCTATAAATGTTTATAGAACATTTATAGAATTAATAGAATAGAGAGAGAGAGAAAATATTAACACCAACTTCATATATTAATATATTAGAGTATATTAATTTGGCACACTCTAAAAATGTTTTGAATGTGTTCTGTTATAAATTCAGTTTCAGAGGGCATGTCTTACCAAATCGTCTGTTTTCCCCTATATGCCACATAATTAAGTTCCAATAGCAGATACCAGGGTTTATTTTGTTAAGCGTTATGTATTCCTCTGAATATTGCTTGTTTTATTTTTTGTAAATAAATTGTATTCAATTACCACAGTAAAAACTAAGCCTAAGCAAATTATGGACACAAACTCATTTGCATTCTCATAATTCCATTCTTGTCTCTCATTTGCATTCTCATAATTCCATTTTTGTCTCTCATAAAGTTAATATAATGTGATAGCGTTGTTATAATGTCAATCAGAAACACTTTTAAAGTGTAGTCACAAGTACAAAGTCTAAAAGTTAGAGCATTTTTAAGAATTTATAATTATCTTATGAATTTTTGGTTTTACCACAGTCTATAATTCACAATCAAAATGATTGTCATGCTGACCTTTTGATGATTAAATAGTCTATACATTAATATTCATTCATATAATGGGACAAGGCTTATTTTGCATAAAATACTATTTAAGCATTGGAAACTGAATTTATTTCTGCATATTCAGTTGCAATGGCATAGAAAATTAAACTGTGACAGTGATTTAGTGAGACCAATTTAGTGAAGTCTCAATAAGAGCTCATTGTTTGTATAATTTTGATTGAAAATGACTCATAATGTTAGATCCAGAAAATAGTATTAATAATTTATGTACAAAGGTAACTGTACAAAGGGTTTTATATACAGTACCTGCCAAGGTCTTGAAAGGAGTTTCAAAAACCCAGCTTTGCCATCACAGGAATAAATCACATTTTAAAGTCGGCATGAAATCAAATTTGACAAATCTTCTTTTTATGTGTTATATTGTAGTGTTTATTATAAATGATTTATCTGTGCACTTCATTATTATTTTTTTAATTCATGTACCGTTATAATCTTTAATCAAATACATTACCCTTTCCTCCCCCCTCGAAACGACCACTCTTCTCTTTCGGTCACGTGCAATGGCGAAAGGGTGCGGCCAGAGCCGATGAGGGTGCGGCTATCGGTGCAACGCCTCTAAGAGAAGATACATTCAAATCTGCCTCCATTTTGTTTGCAACGCCCAACCTCCAACGATCCAATCAATTCCCGAAGGACGAAATCAAGCCCCGCCCTACATTTTTTTCTAATTTCAGTAGCCGTTTCACTCGGATATACGTCACAACAAGGAAAAAATGACAATCTCAACTTCCGTTTCATGCAAGGGGGTAATCCACCAGCCGGAAACTGAAGTCTCCCCGGGCGCCGCCATTGGCTAACAAGCCTTCACCTGCTGTTAGCATTCCATTGACTCCCATTCATTTTGGCGTCACTTTGACAGCGAATAACTTTACATCTGAGACGTTTAAAGACTCCATTTGTCCATTATTTATTTCTAAAGAAACACGACAATGCATAAAATGCTCCATTACCTTGTATCTTACGTTGTGGCCCCGTAGAAGCAGTTTTTGTAAAAATAGGCTAACGATTGCGTCATAACACGCGACGGCGACTCTCTGTCGCACAGAAGAGAAATGACCGTAAAGACAGATGTAGAAGCTCACCCGCAATCGGGGGACGTGGAGGCATAAAGTCAAGGGAGAAGTCCATAGAGAGTCATAAAGTTGCTCCTGCTGCGAGCTCATACACAGCTAATACTTACGAACTCCGGCTCTGCAAGATTCGGAAGGGAATGATTCAGATTCCGCTTGGCACCGCTACTAGAAGACGTACAACTGTAAGTCGGGTTGCTCACGTCACAACTACGTCTTCAAGCTCAGTTTGAGCCTGCGCAGTTCGCTTGGCAATCAGGAAGTCAGTGCTTCTATTTGACTTCACTTTTCTCCGTTGAAGTCTATGGGGTCGCTGTGTCCATTTCTTTTACTGTCTATGGTTTCATGCCGACTTTAAAATAGATTCACATAGTAAACAGTTCTTTAAATTTGTATTCATATTTTTGCAATATTACTGCTTTGACTGCATTTTTGATTAAATAAATACAACCTCGATTAAACTTATATTGTAATGATTCCAAACTTTTGACAGGAACTGTACAATTGCAAGTTATATAATAAGGAAGAACATGAAAATATAAGGACATCTTTATGTACAAGGACATGAACGCATGTGCAAAAATAGGTTATGCTGAAATTTCCTCATAGGTTAAACAAGCTATACAGGAAAAACAATGACAGTGGTAACCCTCCTCTTTTTTAATTTGACACAATCGCTCATATATAAAGCCCCAATGTCTCAGATCACAGTTTTTCGGAAACCATTTCATCCTTAGTTGGAGAACGTGGGTCTGCGAGATATTCGAATCACATTATATGTGTTGAGCCCCGGAGCGTCGAATCCGGGAGACACACCCTTTTTGTCAAAGACATAAAAGTTAAAAAGCTGTCCATCTTGGGCTTCGAGGGACACTGATGCGGTGTTGACAAGCAGTACACAGGGATATTCTTTCTCGAACACAACTCTAAAGACTCGGTCCACTAAGTAATTCAATTTTATGGTCCGGTACCGCTCAGGGATGAGATCCTCAATTTGAGGTCCAAACTGCTGCATGATCAAGACACCATCTGGCCCCGCTTTAATCTCATAAAACGTGATGTTGCCGTAAGTGTAAAAGCCCACATAGGGAGCAGGATTGGGGGGAGGAATAAGAAACCGCTTGGCCTCCCTAAAGGCCCTTTGCATGGCGGGAATGATATAAGAGTATGCCTTTGACACTACATCCTGGTTCTGCGGTCGTGTGCCCGCCATTAGCACCACCAAGCCTAGCTTAAGCCGAGGAACCAGAGAGAATGTAGCGGAATAGCCGTCCAGATCACCATCCTTGCGTAGCACCTCATATCCCATCTGTTCATTCACTTCCCACGGCGTTCCTGTGCGATTGGCAAAGTAGTCTTTGTCGCAGCGGAACAGAGGGGTTAGCATAATTTTTAAGGTGTCAGGCTCCAAAAGCTTGCGGTGATAGGCTCCCAGCAACATCATGGATAACTTAGCCATATCAGCAGCCGTCGAATACATCTGGCCCGAGGGGCGGTACCACCCCAAGTCATAAAGAGGTGCCATTTGGCCACTGGCGTACACACCGACAGCCATTTGACTTTGGATAGCAGGGCTGATGTCAAACCCTGTGTCCTCCATTCCCAACCTGCCCAGAATGTTATCTGTGACCCATCGCTGGTAATTGATACCCACAACTCTCTCAGACAGGACATGGGCGAGCAAAGAGAAGGCCAAATTGCTGTAGTGACATCTAACAGAGAAAAGTGAAGAGAAGAGTATGTTATGTCTTCTTTCTTTTCTTTTTTTTACCTCAAAGGCAAGTTATTAGGAGGCAACAGAAAAGTTATTATCATGATCCATAACCTTTCCAGACACACAAAAAAAAAGCTATTGAGATGTACACAAAATGAGGTTCGTTTAAAGTAGCTGACAGGAACAAATATGGTTACTTAAATCAGATAGATTAACGTGGCGGAACTTACTTGGTCCCTGGATCTGCGACGAGCACATCATCTTGCAGGAGATTGATTGCAGCCTTTGTCTTCCCTTTCCACAGCAAGTTAGTTCCACGGACTCTTCGGGGTAGACCTGCAAAAAAATAAAAAAAATACAGTATGGAGAATAATGCTTAATTGTGTTGTTTTAATGTCTTGTATGTGATGTATTTACTCTTAATAAAAGCAATTTGCTTCAATCATCTGAACATTTTCAGGTAAGGGAAATTCATCATTTTCTTAAAGGGGTCAAAACACTTCTAGAACACAAAAATTCTCCACAGAAAGTTGAAAAAGATTGTGTATTGAAACTAAGCGGCAAAAATGGTTCTTCCTGTACATTCACAAACGAAAATTTAAATGAATAATATTTCAATATCTCATTTTAAACTTGGCCTGCCCTGTCACGGTGAGGTAAAATTGATGAAGTAGGATAAATGTAGTGCAGGCTCTGCACAGAGGCTGTTACTGAAGGATTTAGAACAGTTACAACCTATATTGGACTCAAAAAGGGTTTTACATTCGAGTCTTTAAGGCACAGCATCAGCTGGCCTTTTCCATGTTCATCTTCGTTTCTTACGTGACATATTTATCAGTCAACTTTTGGAGAGAAACAGTGCAGCCACTGGACAAAAATGAAACTTTCTAGTGCGCATGTGTCGACCGCTTGAGTTTATGCACACTATTAATTTGAGTATACATTGAAAGGTTATATGTTCAGCTGGTGAACGTGATTTCACCAAGTAGAACATGTCCTTCATGGATCAACATCCTTGTTAATCCTTGGAACAATCTTCCAATCAACCAATCAGATTTGAGGGATTGGTTTAGAGTTAATGTTTTTTTTTTATGTTTAGAGTTTAGTCTTACAACAACACCTATCGTTATGGGTAGGGTTACATTTAGGCATAGGTGTCAGACTATGTTTTTGGATGTGAATGTTGTCCCAGGATTAACAAAAGATGTTGATCCAGGAACGTCTTGGCAAAATATTGAACAAGTGATCACGTCAAAAATGAAGTATACCAAACACATACTGGGGGAAAAAGTTTTTTTTTTTTTTTTAAGTAAAACAAAATTTTAGTAAAACAAAATTTTTTAGTTGACCTTTTTAGTTGATCATTAAAAATGTCAGATATTACCTTTTTAATTGCCTGCATTTATTTATGTTGTGTATATGTGTGCCATATTTAAATGTACTGAAAAGATTTAAAGTCATATCAGATTTTCTTTATCTTTACCAGCCGGTGTATTTATAGTGAGAACAGTAATCACACACATCAAGTAAGTGAAGGAAGGCGTATTTGGCCGGTCGCTACAGGTAGATTACTGTGAAAATGGAATAGATGAGTTTTGTTTTTCAATTCTGAGCTCTTGAGTTTGTTCCACTAAATTGTCCATGTTCACCACCAGCAATTGAGGCCAAACAGCTGGCCCAACGCTGAGTTCAAATAAAATTCATTTTGACCTGCTGCTACAGGTATTAAAATGCTGTAAACAGACACTTGTGTTTTTTTCACATCTCAGTGATTGTGCAACCTTGGAATTGCTTCTTGGCATAAAACTGGAAGCTGGAAACTCACCAGAAAGCTGGCTGGCCATTCTCCTTAATGTTACCGAGGACGATCTGATTTGAACCTCACCACTGTCAAGGAAGATCAGCCCGTCCGTGACGTATTTCAGCTCAGAGTCTCTGCTTTTGCCCAGGGGGTTTTTAATGGTGAAGTTGTCCACATACTTCTCCAGGGGGTCATCCAGGGAGCCCACCTTGCCATCTTCCCACAATCGATACAGCATCAGGGTGGGAAAGATCTTTGATACACTGGCAATCCTACAGAAGGGGCGACAACACAGCAGATTCTTTATTCAAATGTGCTCAAAATAAGATTTGTATTATTTATGGAAATAGTCAAGCTATGAGAAAATAACATCAGCTTTTGCATTGGTGCTGGAAGTTCAGCAATGAAATTTAATTATTAATCATAAAAATGCAATCAAATGGTTAGACATCAAGTGAAGTATAATGCTACTTTGAACATCGAAGCATGTCATCCAAAAAAACCTTGACTGTATTTCTAGCCATCAGTCAAGTAAAGGAAGGGTAAACCTGTTCTGACATACTGGAGGTTTTATTTTTTTGTGTATATTTCAATAAAAATGTCATAATTCCAAATGATTTTGCAGTGCCTTGCTGGCTTTGTACACTCCTGACTTGTTTAGTTGTTTGCATTGTGTGCCGTTGATTGACTGGCCAACCCAGAGTGCGTCAGAACTCGACACCGAGACTGGCCTTGAGTATTTTATGAGCACAATTTCAGCCTTTTGAACCATGCCCTCATAAATCCTACATTCTCATCCATGCGAGTAATACAGACCAAAACAGTCTACAATCCATTACAAGAGTTTGAGCCTTGAAAACAGTAGCTGAGTTATGTACAAGATGATCTTTACACAACTAGAACTGGAGAGAAACAGCTTAGTAGCATTAACAGGACGTAGAAATGACTACTTCTTAAAAAAAATAGAGGAAATGCCTATATACTTTCCAGATCTGATTAAACCAGCAGCCTTGCCATCTGTATTCAAGACCATATCATGCAACTGCCAACCCTCAGAACCTTTAGAAATAATCTGGCCTAAACACAGCACAGCGCTATACAGTCCATGGATTTTATAAACAAAAAAAGAAATGTGACAGCAAATATAGATATTTGCCTTTGCACTACATAAACTGTCTAAATGTGGACTTGGTGGTCTATAGTTTAGATAAAAATGACTATTATTATAATCCATAGAGTATGTAAGATCCTTTTGAATATATAATGCACAATAGCATGATATTAATTAGCGAAACACACCCAGTCCTCAGTCAGTTTGAAATAAAAACATAATTCTGGAAATAGGCATGCAGATCATAAATAACCCATGCATAATTTATAATGCAAGAATTTAGATAATTGAGCACAAAGAATGAATTCCTTTTTTAAATGTTACATTCCTTGCTTTATTCTGCAAAAAGGAAAAAGTAGTGCTGGTATTCATTTGGTTCTGTTTCATAATCAGAATAAGAATAAGAATGTGCTTTAAATGGCAATTATGTTTGCATACGAGGAATTTATCTTGGTGAAAGGAGCGTTCAGAAAAAAGTACAGACAGGATAAAGCAGTAAAAAAGGAATATAACACAAAAGTGAATATGTGCCTATATATATATATATATATATATATATATATGAAATCTAATTCATTAGTATATATATATATATATATATATATATATACACACACATACACAAATGTATTGATTTTGTGTTGTACTTGTACTAATGATAGAAAATTATATTTATATTTTTACTGCTTTATACCTATGCCTACTTTTTTTTCCTGGACTGGAAGCTCCTATATATAGTATATGTTTTTTTTTTTTTTTTTTTTTTTTTTTTTACAAAAACATTGATTGAGTTCATGGCTTTCAACATAATCAAGCTTAATTTTGTCCACTTTGAAATAGCAACACAGTTAAGCTGTATTGCTTGAAATGACAGCTCCACTCACAAATTAGAATTAGAAATTAGCAAATTAGAAGTGGATTCGGACTGATTAAATCGATCTAAGCACACAGTTGGCCTCAATGTGGAAATGTGTGCTTCATCAATGAAAAATAATAGCATAGCTGTTATGTGATGATGCTTGAATAATTGCAGCTATATGGGTCCGGATGAAGGACCCTCGAGAGTGGGATTTGAGCACACAGACACTTAGTTGGCATTTGGTGATAATGTCACCCCTCTCCATGCCAGACTCCTTCATATGAGGGCGATCTGTGTGCTATGCAGAGGAAAGTTGATCATATCTCCTGTCAACCATAAGCAAGGTTGAATGCAAGTCCAAACAATGTATAAAATAAATATAAACATGTATTTCTAAAATATTTAATACATATCATTTATAAAATATATTATATAATGATGTACCTGTAAATGGTGTATTCATTTGGTGGTGCAGAGTTAGGATCACTACCATTTCTCTTGCCGAAGTTCCCCGTCCACAGCACTGTGTCATTGTAAGTAACAATAGCTGACAATGAGGGCAGACTGACGGGGTTGATGCTATTGCGCAGCAGTGCGTCAACCTAGACGAATGACAATACATTATTAAATTAATTTATACGGTAGCAATGATTTGTTGGAATACACAACTGTTCAAAAAATATCTTATGCTCACCGAGGCTGCATTTATTTGATCAGAATGCATAGTAATATTGCAAAATATCATTCCAAATTAAAATTACCGTTTTCTTTTTAAATATTTTTTAAAATGTCATTTATTCCTGTGATGTTAAAGCTGTATTATCAATTAGCTTTCCAGTATTCAGTGTCACATGATCCTTCAGAAATCATTCTAATATGCCGAGTTGGTGCTCAAGAAACATTTATAATTATCAATGTTAAAAATTGTGATGCATTTGTCAAAGATTCTTTAATGAATTGAAAGTTCAGAAGAACACAATTTGTTTCAGCTCAACCACTGGCAAGAGACTGGGGTGGGACTATCTGTTTGACTGACCAATGGCAGACAGGGGGCGTCTTCTGGAAACCTGTGCGTAAACAGTCACAATTTTTGCGATTCAATCTGGTGTTGCTAGCAGCTAGTGGCACAGAAATGACGTCAACTTCAAATAAAGTTCTTAAATATTGAGAGCATTTTTTATTGATTCAAAGTACTAATTCTATGAGTCATCACTCTTAATGATGGCAGCTGAATTGCTGAATATTTTGTAACCATGAATAAAATAAATTTTCTGTTTCCCACAGCTAACATTTTAATTTCATTTCATGCAGCAGATTTTTAAGGTGCCAGTACATTCTTTTTTACGACTGCTCTCAAGAATGAGGGCGTTCCATGCTGGTAATTGCCACAGGTACAGATTGAGGAACAGCATTTATAAGCTGGGCTACTTCCAGCCAAGGGTTTTGCTGTAATGGCATCTAAAGTGCGAAGGGACATTTTGAAATCATGGCATAAGTGGACTTGATTTTGGAATAAAAAGAAAGTAAATTAGTAGACCAGGCATGTGTCTTAATGCAAAGGACAAAATCATTCAATAAAATAAAAATACATTTTGTTATTGTTTTGTGCTAAATATAGTTTGAAAAGATTTATATACACCAATCGTGACATGCAATCGATCATGCTTTATGACCATTTCAAACACATGTGAAATAAACTGCAAATGACTGACTTTTAAAATAATAAAATCATCGCACAAAAGGACAAAAAAAATGATTAAGATATGATTTTTGAGCAGTGAAGTGTTTAGTGTTCAATCTTCACATCACATGCTTACTTTCTCAAGTGCCTCCTTCAAACTGGGGATGGGGTGTTCCAGAAGTGTGGGCTCCGGGAACCGAGGGCACATTCGCAAAGATTTGGATCTTCCCCCAGCATTTTCATCTTAAGAATAAGCACACAGTTATACATGTATATAAAACGAGAGAAAGTGAACTGCTCTCTGTTCTCTGTTTGTTTGGACTTTTATGTTGTATTTTCAGAACCAATGAAACAATAGGACTACAAAGGGACGACAAAACTAGACACAGGAAACAGGGAACAAGTAACATGAACGGGGCAAAGGAAAACATTTAGAAGAGTGTTGAAATTTTTTGAACATAGCCTTTTCCCAATTAAACAGAATCGAAACAGATTATAATCATGTGTCCGAACAGTGAATTAAAACCTTTACTGATTATTTTTGAACACACTTACAAATAATAAGCCCCACTTTAATTTGGAAAACAGAATGAACGTTAACAGAGACAAATGTTTGCATTAATATATTTTGTTATTCTTATTTATTGCTAAATATATGTTTCAGTGGTTTGAAATGATTTATACAGGATTTGATTATGCATGATGTAAATTGTAAATACAAATTTGAATTGTATTTTTTGTTTGTGACACTAGAGGGCGTATGAGTATTTTGAGTATATTCAAGTAAGGTGATGATGAGTTACAGGTGCGCTGATGGAAGGTCAACAACTTGACCGTGCCGTGTTAAGCGTTGGATTGTGCAAGACTGTGCTCATGCCCAAAAGTTTGTTTTGAATCTGATATTTTGGTTTAGTATTTATTTTCGTTTTATTTGTTGTTTACAACAGCCCAGTCTCATTCCAAGACGTCATCTGTCTGACGCTTTTGACCATACATCAACATCCGACGTTTTAGGGTACCCTTTAACGTCAGGTAAATGACGCTATCTAATCCTAACCCTACCCCAGACCTAAACCTACCCGCGTCATCTAACTGACGCTAAAGGTAAAGCGTCAGGTAGATGACGCCCTAGGATCGTCATCTAACTGACGTTAAAGGGTACCCTAAAACGTCGAATGTTGACGTATGGTCAAAAGCGTCAGACAGATGACGTCTTGGGATGAGACTGTGTCATTTACAATGCCAAATGGACAATTAATGGATTTGGCTTATCCGAAATTATTCTGAAGGTATGGACAATACATTTATTTTATTCAAGACAAAAGCACGCATCAGAAACAGACTAATAAACCCATCTGCGTCCCTACAATTATTCGGGTCACCTAAACTGGGGTTTAGTGAATTCGCCTCATTACTTAATGGACAGCGGTCTGTAGATTAAGAAGAACAAAACTGAGAACAAAAATGCCTTAAATATGCAGCTCCCCTGCGCCTTCACCTGAAAAGAAGACCATCTTTAGAGTTCTAAATCAATCCCCACTCACAGAGACAGCTATTATAAGGATATTCTAATCACACCTTGAGTAAACTCTAAGTCAACATGTCTGACACCAAACCAGACATATTTTGGTCACACTTTAGATTAGGGTCCAGTTCCAACTATTAACTACAACCTTTGCCTCTATAAACTCCTAATTGCTTATTAAGGTAGTTGTTAAGTTTAGGTAATGGGTATAGCATTAAGGGATGTAGAATATGGTCATGCAGAATAAGGCATTACTATGTATTTTAGGTACTAATAAACAGCCAATATGCATGCTTAACTAAAGTGTTACCCATATTGCTTTGTAATTTTTAGTAGTGAGTATTTATAAAAAATGTGAAAGAGATTTCTTTGCATTTTAAAAGTTTAAAAGTGACTCAAGGCTTTCATACAGAAGAAGTATTGCACATGACCTGTGGACAACTCACTCACCTGCCACTAACTTGGGCAGCTGGTACTGCCAAATGAAGCAAGCAGTCATGATGATGGACAGCAGCAAGAAAAAGACCAGGCCCAGTTGAGTCCATTTCACCTTCATTTTTCTGGTTTTGGTTAAACCGTCAATGGCAATTGCTGGGTCTGGCTTTAAAAAATTAAGAAAACAAAAACAAATAAATGCTGTTCTTTTGAACTTTCAATGCATCAAAGAACCTGGAAAAAAATTATCACAGTTTCCACAAAAAAATTTAGCAAAAAAAAAAAAAAAATCAACATTAATGATAATAATCAGAACAATTATTAATAATTGAGCACCAATAATAACTGAGCACTAAATCAGCAATGATTTTTAAAGGATCATGTGACTCTGAAGACTGAAGTAATGGCTGCTGAAAATCAGCTTTGCCATCATAGGAATGAATTACATTTTAAAATATATTCAAATACACTCGAAAACAGTAATTTTAAAATGCTTTACAAAGCTGTAAAACATGTATCAATCAAAATTCCACAATCAATGAGAAAATGAAGCACGGTGTGCCTCTGATACAGCTCCATTCTTCATGCTGTGAGTCATTCAAAATATATTATAATTTATGACTGCAAGATAAAAAATCCAAATCGCTAAGGAGAACAAATTATGATGTAAAACCTCCAAGTAGTTGCTGACCAACACTCTTTACAACAAGAATAAACAATATAAGAACACTCACCACACGTAAAGCTCCATTTGTTCTATTGTGCCTACATATACAGTTCTGTTTCAACTAGTTGTACCAATCCGAAAGTGTGAAGATTTTTATGGAATTCCGCCTCTTCTAAAGTGGAAAACCCCATTCCATGGCAATTACAACCGAGGTAGCACTGGGTAAACACAGACCTGACTCCTGCCATCTCCACACTGACTGTGGCATAATCCTGGCCGTCTGATTCCCTTTGACAATTAAATTTCCTCTTCCACCACAGCGCCTGACCTGACATCATAATCCCAAGATTTACCCCTCTAAACCCCATCAGACCAGGGCGGTTCTTTATCTTAATTCCAGCAGATCAGTGCACTTGGCTGCTGTTTCCCGCTTTCAGTGCTTGTGTGGCGTTCCCTGCTCCAAACAACCAGACTTCCCACGTAGGGAGAATCAAACTTCAAATCTAATGAGAATTGTTCCATGTCTCAAGACTACAGATGACAAGAGATGTCAGACTTCATCTTGCAAGAGCATTTAATCCCATAAAGTGAATGTCGACAAGAAGACATGCCCAAGGGGACTGCAGGATATGTTATATAAGGGACACAAGGATATATTTACTGTTTTTTGAATGCACAGCATTTTGGTCACATATAATGTAAGTAGCACTAGACTCATCGTTTGGCAGACTCATCTAGACTCTCACTAGACTCATCTTTTGGCAGATATTCTCTAACACCAATCTTATCAGGCCATTCGCAGGTGCTAAATCGACACTACTGTACTCCACTCATCTAAAGACCCTGACATGTGACTCTTATAGCAGTCTGTGATTGGACCATCTGACCTGGAGCTAAACATTGGGATTAACAGGAGCAGCAGGGTTTGAAATAAACCATCATCACTTAAAAATCCTCAGATGTGAGATTACTGGAGTTTGAGTATAGCACTGACATTTAAAAAAAAAAAAAAAAAAAAAAAAAAAAAATTACTACCTTTGCCATATGGGCAATTTTTCTAAACAATAAAATTAGATAAAAAAAAAAAAATAGATTAAACGCTTTCATAAAAAATTACAAAAATATTATTAAATCCTATGAGAAATGTCTCTTATTAATAAAAATAAATAAAATAAAACAAAACAAAATAAATAAAAAATAAATACAATTATTGTATCCAAAGTTACAATAATAATAATAATAAACCTTTGTACATTGGCCAATTTCTCAATAAAATGAGATTTGTTTAATATAATAAAATAGATAAAAAATAAAAAAACCTCATAGGATTAGGACCTCATTCTTTAATTAGTGAAATTACAGAGAAAACAGCACCTGAACAATGTGCTTAAATGTGCTGATCAAATGCAGTATAAAGAGGGTAGTCCCATGAGGTTTACCATGTAAATCTCTCAGTGTTCCAGTTAAGGCAAAAAAAAAAAAAAAAGTTCTGGTACATCATGTAATAATGTAAAGCATGAACATTCATATTCTGAGGAATAATGAGAGAGACTATGCAACTTGATCCAACCACTGCAGCATCACATCTAATGAGTTTGAGTAAATCAAAAGGGATTGCTAATGGGATGACAGTGAAACACACTGTGAGCCTCATACACACATTCACATGAAAATATAAGCACAGATGGTCATGAACTAAACAATGATGCATCAAAGGATTAGTACATAGCTTGTGACTCAACAAGAGAAGCCATAATCTAATTGTTTAGTCTTTGCTGTTTACTTAGAGAAGGATTTGTGTTTGTATTCGGCCATGCACAATTTCTCTGCAGAGTAAAATATGCTCGGGCTGTGAAACTGAAATCTTTATGGAAATTACCTGGGGCTGGACTCCATCCACAGATGTCTCCTTCAGGACCACCTTGCTCCCCGTCTCTCCCATCTTTACTCTACCAAAGCGGAAAAATACAAGACAATTCACTGGTTCGGTCAAATTACATGGAAAAAAAGGAATATAGATCTCATTTTAGTTTAGGGTGGGAGAAAAAGCAGGAGGTTTTCTGTATAGGCCAATGATTTGATGCTAATTTTTTTGTCCTATCTATTAATTTATTCGAAAATACATAAAAACACAGTTGCATACAATGACATGAATATATCTCTTCTACGATGAGCATACGATATATCATTTCGATATTTTTGGGGGGCATAAAGTAAAAAATAAACATTAATATTTTAAAAACTTTTGTCAACTTGTCAACATGTAGAAACATGTAGGCAAAGACATGTAAATAAATAACACTCAACCAACAAACAAAGTTTGTAAAATATCATGTAGTGCAACTGAAATGTGAATATAGAACTGACATTTAAAAAAAAAAAAAAAAAAAAAAAAATCTACCTTTGGGCAATTTCTCAAAAAAAAAAAAAATGTTTTGTTTAGTGTCCACAAAGGATGGGTAAGACACATTTACATTCGGCACCTTCCAATAAATAGTTTGCATGTGTTACTCACTTGTCTTGGTGTTATTCAGCTGAAAGCTTGTCATTTTTTCACAATTCTTTAAATTATCTGCAGCTGCCACCTGTGAATAAATGCTTCTCTAATGGATCTTCTGCTGTATTTAAAGGGGTGATATAATGCCCTTTTCACAAGATGTTAAATAAGTCTTTGATGTCTCCAGAGTGTGTATGTGAAGTGTTAGATCAAAATACCCCACCGATATTTTTATAGAATGTTAAAATTGTCACTTTTTGAGGGTGAGCAAAAACGCACCGTTTTTGTGTATGTCCCTTTAAATGCAAATGAGCTGCTGCTCCCGGTGTCCTTTTACCTCACACAGACATGCACTGAAAATTTCAAAAACTTTTAGCCTTTTACAGTATGTTCAAACCGGAGTCAAGAGACTCAAGTAGAAGTGACAACATGTAGAATGCAACAGGACATTTCTGAATGGTTAGTTGATGAATTTATATAGCTTATGTGCAGGGGCGTAGCAGCCATTATAAAAGTGGGGGGGACAAAATGGTGTGGTGAAGTGACCCAAAGGTCAGTCCTTCCAGAAAAATGCTGAGTTTTTTTGTGATTGTTGCGGGCAAAAATCCTTGATTATGCGGCGATGGAATATGCAGGATATTTGCAATTTTATGTGATGAAATTGCGGGAACTTGCAAAAACTTCGGTTTGATGAAAAAGAGAGAAAAAGTGATTCCCCAACACCCTGTTCTCACTAGGCTACTACCTTAATGTAAAGAGCTATTTCTTATTACTTCCTATGATAAGCAAACATAGGCCTACTACATCACAGAAAGTGCTGGAATATTTAATCTTGTTTTATTTCAGACCTTAATAAACACATGGCTCAAACTTACAAAACATTGATGAGTCAAACAAGTTCTGTAGCTTTACAAAAGGAATATGCTACAACTTCTGTAAAAATGAATAAATAAAATATGAAAAAAATGTTTCCTGTTTTACCACTTTTTTTCCATTTTTTCCCCAATGATGTTCATGTCGAGTAATTACGTCACTTCATAACGTTCCCATGGCAACATTTTTCAACTTTCTGCTAAGATATATGTGACTTTTTTTTGCAACAAAAATGCGGGGATTATGAAATCATACAAGCCCCGCATATTTCGCGTGGAAATCGGCAATTTATACGGCAAAAGTGCGGCGTATTTGAAAAAATGCCCCCGCATAAATATGCGGACTTTGGCTGATTATTGAATCATGCGATCGCATAATCCGATAGACAGAATACGTAAATAATACTTAAAATTCAGAATACGTCTCACACGCAGGGTCCAGAGGGCTCAACATGCCCACCAAAGACTTGTTCTTTTCTCACATTCATATAAATTCAGGGTAAAATCTGAACAAAACCTGTCGTTCTGCAGATGAGTCATTGTCCTGAGAGGATATCGTTTGGTCTAGCACATAAAAAGGACATTTTTCAGTGAATCACTATTGTTCACAAGCTGAATCACGCAACACAACCTGCACTGAAGTATTACTTAACATTTAGTGGTAAAGGTAATATTTCCAAAAGACACACAGCAATTAAAAAAGGATTTGCTTAATCGCACGTCCATTTCCAATTAAATCCCAATGCAAGTGACACTGAAATTATGACACGATTTCATGAATTGCAGCATAGTAAATGGACCCGTGCTATTTTAGTCCCTAAGAGCTCATTATCTGTCTGTATGACTCACTGAGGCATGGAAATTTCTGTCAATTACTGTGAATTCAATATGAAACAAGGCTAACATGGTTGTCACAACAAGAGAGGTTTAAATTTAAGATCATTATAAAAGTTTTTCTGATTGCTTAACGATTGCTTAAACACAAAAACTGGTTTCTGTAGCATAAGTATATATACAGTATGTGTGTGTGTGTGTGTGTGTTTAATTTAAAAGGTGTCCTCCACGTATCATCTTCGAATTAGCAATGGTTAGTTTACATTTTTAATCCCAATTTTGCATAAAAATATCTTTCTTGGATTGATTAAATAAGTCAAGGTAGAGGTTAAAAATTGGTTGATATTATTACTTTATTGCCACAATGGTTTAGAAATGTAAAGTGCATTGCATTGTGGAATATAAAATATGCAGATATGCTCTGTTGTACTGCTCATTTTGGCAAGTAAAAGATCATCTGGGTATTTTACACAAAAATGCAAGCAATACTGCAGCAATAATAGTGTTTGCACCAGGAGAAAGGCATGCTCTTTGAGTTTAGCTTGTGACGACTTGAGTTAATTACAGTAGTCAACATTTGAAGTGGATCAAAAAAGTTCATCAAAATTGTTATAAGACAAGAACGGGTATTGTTCAAAATTCATGTATAACTTTGATGAAAGGTTATGATCCACTTCACATATTGACTAGTGTATATTAAGAGCATGTGTTTTCTGAATGAACATATCGTGCAATAAATGGTTTATTTGGTCACTTTTGTGAACGTTTTTACAGAATGAGGTATGTGGAAACAGGTGAAAAGTGTTTACGGTTATTGTAAATGTGTGTGTGTTTGGGGATGACATAAGGGAATGTTTTTTTTTATATAAAATATGATAACATTCCATATGCTGTAAGCTTGTATTCCATTCCAAACATTGTCACTTAAACATACAATAAGTTACTATTCCCATCCTTTTCGAATTATGCATTTGTAAATGCCTCTATGCAATTCTCTATAGAGCAGAGTTTCAGTAATGATGTGTTTTGTGTTTCGTTCTTTCTTTCAATACAGATAAAGCTGATGATTCAAATCTCACTGTGATTGATCATTTGAGCATTAGGGAAAGCCTGCGTATGTGAAATATGAATATAACATGAATATGAAGATATGCTAAAGTGAATGCAAATAAACCATTTTCAATGCAAAATTCATCCAGGTAGCAAGCATTTTACATAAACCCAGGGTATTAGTGAGATTAAATATGACTTGCTTTTTCCTATTGGCTTCAGTTATGTCTATCTGGTCCACTTCTTCTATCTGTATCACGTTTTGTTCTGTCATTTACAATTTTAAACTGAGAAATAAGTAAAGCGTAAGCAAAAAAATACTTAAAAGCGATATTCACTATTGCTACATGTAAAAATCTCTGAATACACATTAAAATAAGCACGATCTGCCCTTATTTTATAAAGAAAATATTTTGGTCACACTCAACATCAACACCTGTCATTTTTTTCCCACTCTGAAAAGGAACTGCTATTGAAAACGGTAGTTATGTCCATTGCATTAGCATAATTCTTTAAAGCACAACTGACGTCCTTACATTTTCTTCTATTGTAGCTGCATAAACCAAAATGCAATAAACACATTCATTTGAACATGAACTTACCCCTAATTGAGGTTTAGGAACTCTCTTCTTCTTTGACGATGAAGGAGTATTCACACTCAACGCTCTCTCGTGTTCAGCTAGCTTACTGTGAAGTCACGACAGATGTTGGTATCATGGTCATGAATAAATCCAGCTTGCACCAGACCCAAGATTCTGGATTATCTGCCATCTGCAACATCTGCCAACATTGGAGAACAGGCAGCACAAATATTGAGCTGTAGTGTTACACAGCAAACCATGTCACTAGATGGCCTAGCAGGCAATGCAGCTTAATTAGTATTTGGACACTTCAGCCAAATTAAAAGTGTATTAAATGCATTGCATGACAAAATATCAAACCAAGATACAACTTATTTGTATCTAAGGCAATTATTACACTATATTAACAACATTAAAGGTTCTCAAAAATATTGAGTAATTCATTCAATTTTCCATTAGATGGAGATTTCAACTGTAATACAAGTGCATTTTTTTATTGTTAAAGGGATTCACCATAGTTATTAGAGGAGTCTCACAACCGCAAAACCTTCAAGATGTGATTTGTGATTGAAACATGAAGAATCACAATTTGTTATACTGTTCATGAAAGGAACAGTCATACTCACCAAGTCGTTTCAAACCTATACTTTCTTTCTTCTGCAGAACACAAAATAAAATATTTCTGTGCAGTATACTTTGATAAAGGAAAGCAAAAATAAAGGATTAAGCATGAAAAAGCTAAACGCTTAATCATAAGTATTCTAAAATTGACTAAAATCATAAAATGTGTCCGTAAAAAAAAAGTTGCTGCCCTAAATCTTTTAAGTACAAACAACTTGTTTAAGTCATTTCGACTTCAATTACATTAAATCGACTTACAAATGAGTTGAATCTTGTATAACTATTACTAAAATTGCTTAACTTATTTTGATGAGTTAAAGCAATGTAAAAACATATTATGTTGTCATAACTTATTGATCATATCATTTTTTACAGAGGGTAACATGTTCAACTATTCAGCAGTGATTGTTTCAGAACCCATATGGGTGGTCATTTTTTGAGACCGTAAACGATCTGGTGTGTGTATACTATAGACGTCCATAGTTGAAGTTTTGAATAATGTACCTGTCTGTGGTCGTAGTGAGTCATGCTCATTAGCCCACAAGGGTTCTACAGCAGATGAACTAATATTATTCAGACCTGATTCAGACCCATGCGTGCAATTTGACTGGTTATGGCAAAGCTGAAAGCAGGTGACAGCACAAAACTCAAACTCATTCAGTCTGAAACTACTTTTCCAAGTATGTTTCCTTTGGCAAGAGAGCAAAAAGCTCTCTGCAGCTATAGAGATATGAAACCCTATTTATATAAAATGCACCCTAACATGTGCACATTCTAGAGAAATAATGTAATCTTCTGTTGACTGTCTAATGTTCTTCTTCTCAGTTTGAGCAGACTGAATGAAGGGAAATGCTTTTTAAATTTGCAAACAGAAAATAGCAACAACAAGACAAATAAGGACTTCTGAGAACTTAAGAAGTGCATCACAGCTCATATGATGCAATTATTTTTCATAGCACAAGAGACCTCCAAAAAGCATTTATGCTCTCTCTCTTTACACACTTGACAATTAATTCATAATAAGATAATCAAATTCATCTAAGGATTTCCAAGAATCACACAATCACAACCAGCTGTTATAGACAGAAAAATCACTTAAACAGAGGCGTTGATGCATAAATTGATTCAAAGGCAATGTGGGATACAAGAAATTCATTTCTACATTGTGGTATTACAAAAGCTATCAAGACAATAACCTTGCACATTATCCAAAGGGTGTCACATAGTTCTCCTGTATCCCTCATGACATGACTGTTCAATTCAATCATGACTTTCATCCCCAAGTCACATGGATGGGTTTATGCATTCCTATCATTGTCCTCATTGATTTAATCGTCTTGCCAGAGAAGCATTGCTGAAAATATAAAGAGTCCTGGTGAATGATTTAACCATCTGCCATTCACTCTGGGCTTTATTTTCCTCTCCCGGCTCATTTTACAGGTGGACAGAGACGAAAACAAATTATAATACTGCATGCTCGTGTGAAAATGGCAATCAATATTTGAACACAATTACACAAAGATGGTCAGCTGGGCTCTAAAGTATTGGTATAGATGTAATCTATAATGTACAAATGCATCATTTGCAGCCTGCTATAGCCATTAGCAATTAACTAAAAGAGAAGCTGGACCAATGGTCTGGTTTTGTAAAAAGCAGATGACATGGTTGTGGCAGGTTTTTTTTTTTTTTTTTACGTGTCTATTTGTGAGAGAAAACTTTTCAAACCAAATAATGTTTCCAATTTTAAAAGTAATTAGGAGACGCAATCTCTTTGGATTCTGGATTCTAAAAAGCTCAAGAGATGAATAAGGCTTTATACCTGGTCCTTTAAGACTGGAATTAAAGAGGCAACAGGGTGGCTGTCAGATTTAGAGCATGAGGGAAAAAGAAAATAAACTGAACCAAAGGACCTTCTTAAATGATAACAAAAATGCAATATTTAAACCTCCTGTGAAATATGTAAGCAATAAAGGTATGAGAGGCTGTGCCTAACAACGCTTCGCGTCGTGCCTAACAACGCCCTTCAGCCGTTACTTATTCACGATACAGCACTTGCATCCAGTACCTTATTGCTTTTATAAAACGGTTACCACACAATAAAAATATTAAAGTAAAAAAAAAAAATTATTAGTGCAACTTTCATGAAGTAAAATCCCTAAAAGCCTTCCTTCCGCTAGAAAAAAAATAGTCCCTGACCGTGAACAGCAACAACGTTCCAATGTGTAATATGCATGAAAGCTCAAATAAAAACAACATAGGAACTGCAGTAGCCTGGGAAAACCCAGACAACTTCCGGCAAATTTAGATTTGCTCTGAAAGTTAGTCTGGCAAAGAGCTCATTCAAGCCCATTTCCAATCCGTCGAAATCAAGGCACCAATCAGAAACGTTGGGGCGGGCTTTACACGATGACGACAGCGCTGGGATTATGAAGCAGATTTTGTAGCCTACATTACAAAGATGCCGCCGTCGAACATCACTCGTTCGAATCAGCTATCGCGTCTGTTTTAAGCGATTTGAATGTTTCCTTTTTGTTAAAAACCGAGCAAAACACTCGGAGAAGTTTCTGCCGCTCTGCATACGCCAGTGCTTCTCAAAGTCCGGACCCCGGTCCGGATCCGGACCCGGAGGGAATTCAATCCGGACCCGCCTCCATTTCGTATTTCAAGAGCCCTAATTGTGTGTAAGGGATTAAAAGTCTGGATTTCCTATTTTGATAAACGCATGTTAAAATCATTTGTTTATTTTTTATGATGGTCCAAAATTAAAACGAAGGCGAGATATTTAAAGTTTTCCTCCGTGATTTAGTTGCCATGACATCCAGTGAGCGTGTGACTTATGACGTAATCGGGCGCGACCGTGACGCGACACTTCCCGGCGTAAGCGTTTGAATGGCTGTGGAGGATGTCATTGTCCAGGAAAAGAAAAGTTGACGAAGAAAATAGAGTTTTCAAAGATGATTGGACAGAGAGGTATGCGTTCACAGATATTTCAAATCTCCCGGAAGTTCCAGGAGTCTCCCGCATATTGATAGCGGCTCCTGATGGCCGCAAATTAATTCAAATCTCTCGGAATCTAGAGCTCGCGAGCTCCAAACCGTGCAGCGCGCGTACGGCAGAGAGGGAGAGAGCGAGAGACCTTACGTGTGTGTGCAAATGCGCGCGTGTGTCTCATGTAAGCCCCATACACCCGCCCGCAAAATGGCATTTTTAAGTTCACTTATCTGTTCTAAGAATCCGTTCAAAAATGTGATGGCGTCACATAATAGCAGAATGCTAGCGTGTTCCAGCCAACAACGGCCTAACCTATAAGAAATCGAAAGGACATAAGTATTCGTTCATTCGACTTTTGGCCTATAATCTATATTGAACTTGCGGAATCAACAATAAAATCTATGTTGATTCAACGACAAGCAGGAGAAAGAGATACATTTAGCCGTTTAGCTCCATAGACTCCCATTCATTCTGCTCTCGCCCACGATCACCTCCAGTGGAATTCTAATGGAACTGCAACCAATATGATACACAATGGGGCTAATAGGAAGTGCCAAGGCTCTCCGTTAGACGGGCTCTGTTACAACTGAGAATGGTCTGGTTAGAACTGCAGTGTTGCGCAGTGATAAATAGAACCATTGGGTGAAGCGGTCATAGCCGTGTTTTATCATAAATAAAGCACAGCTATTGACCAATCAGAATCAAGGATTGGAACTAACCGTTTTATAAAAAGGCATAACATGAATAATGTCTGGATGTGCTTTGAAACTTAATGGGGTGTGTGAAATACATAAATGAGTTCACACACAGTTGGGCAGAATAATCAGGTTATCTCAAGTGAAGGTCGAACATTTTTTTAGTATAGGCTATGAGGGTTGCATAAAGTTGTCATGTCAATTATGCACAATTTACAGCCTCAAAGATATAGGCCTACAAAAATGATCTATATAAAAATGCTATATCAGCCTCAGACAGCACACCCACTGACCACCTACAGCCCTTTCAATGACTTATGTAACATAAAGTTTGTAAAACAAATCTTGCTCCATCCTTTAATTACTCAAAGTAGTAAGAACAACAGAAAATCTGCATTAATGGAAACAATTTTAGGTAATAGTAGTGTGCCCACCGATTAGCCGTTAGCCGGAGACCTACACAATATAAAACACAAAACTAACACCTGGTAGAAAAAAAGTATATAGGCTACATCGATAATTAATCATACTTATGCGATTCTGAGAAGCAAGTTGGTCCAAATAATATGGGTAGGTACTGTCCCATCTTAATAGATAAGAGTTTTAATCCCATTATACCTCACAGAGATTTGAGAAGCAATCGTCAGAAGTTTGTACAGATGCTGTGCTGTACATCTGTGGTATTTTAACTAGGGATGTCCCGATCCGATACTCAGGATCGGTATCGCTCCGATACTGCCATTTTTGCGGGATCGGGTATCGATCTGACATCGATCAGACGAGGCCGATCCAAATCCGATATTGTGGGTATACTATGTGTTATTGTTAAGCCCCACAAAATGCACAAAAACATTCTAAAGTACCATAACGTTTT